TCATGCATGCTTTACCATAGCTACTCGAGATACTCTTACTCTCAGCTTATCGGGAAAGACACTGAGGGAAGACAGCTCTGTCTGAAGTCGCACAGAGAGGAGCAGGACTTTTATTGCTGGTATCCTGATTCTAACTCCTAGATCTCATTCCGTCAACGTGTCACAGCCATGAACAAAGATTTGGAATGACGATAGCAAGGCCCCATTTTTAAAAATTCTCAAATGGCTTGAGTTTAAATTGAATTTCTTTCAATAGAACACGGGTGACACATATATTTGTATGTGAACTTTATAATACTGTGATACGTTGGGCAAAGATTACTTATAATTGAACAATCTGTATTTATATGTAGCATGTACCCATGGTTACATACACACAATAAAGCAGGGTTAAGTAGAAATAGCTGCTGTTTTGGATGCAGAATACTCATCCTTTATATCAAAATGGAGACTTAAGAACAAACTTTGTAACTTGGTATCTCTTATTTGAGGGGGTGTTTCTTGGAATAAGAGGAAAGCTGAGAGGAAATCTGGATTAGAAGAAATAAAATCTCACTCATACTTTTCCTCTCTACATGCCCCTTCACCTACTTGATTAAGTGAACAACTCTGTTTTGGTGGTATCTGTGATTATCATCTTTAGCCTGTCTGATGTCTGGTTCCTCAGTGGCTCTGCCACATCAGATACACAGCTGTCACCCCTAAGTCTCACATGTTCAGTTATCTGTCCAGCAGTTTCCCAAACGTTTAGTCATGTCCCACAATTACATCATTCCTGTCTCGGAAATAGCTCACCCACACCTGCTTGTCACGGTACAGAAGAGCTCGCTGAGGAGTTTCTTCTTCCCCCTCCAGAGAGAAACAAATTGAGATCTTCCATTTCTTGGCAAAGCTAAAGAGAAGAGTTAGTATTCCTGGTTTTGTATGTTCTCGTATTTGTGGTGTCTTCTAAAGAGGATCTCAATTCTGCCTTCAAATTTGTTTACTTATGGGGCTGGAAAGATGGCTCCTTAGTTAAGAGCACATACTGCTCTCACAGAGGACCAAAGTATAGTTCCTGTCTCCCTTGTTGTGGGGTTCACAACTGCCTATAATTTCAGTTCCAGGTGATCCAACGGCCTCTTTTGGCCTCCACTAGTACCTCCATGAAAGTATACACACACACACACACACACACACACACACACACACAACTAATACACATAATTTTTTAAATTAAATTAAATCTTTAAAAAAATGTCATTTGTAGTTCAACTTGATCTTCTACAGCCTATCAGAAGCCTCAAAAGGAACATTTTGTCTGTTATTCCACGTTTAACATTAGTGGTATCTGTGCTCGTTTGCTAAGGGTACAGGTACAATGTGCACTTTCCTTAAACAAAACTGTCCGAAACAGGCTGGACAGGAAAGCACTCACTGAGCCTCTTAGATAGAACTCTGCATTCCTCTATGTCCTCCCAGCCCCTCCCTTCTATGTGAAAGGAGACTCACAGAGAACTTGAAACTTGCAGATGTTCAGAAGGAAGCACAGGAGAAAAGCAGGCCCCACCCCAACCCCCACCTGTCCAAGGAAAACAAAGAAGAACTATCCAAGCAAGGGCAGTTAGAGGAGATTTCAGATAGTTTATGAAAAAAAGCAAGGACCTTCACAATTGCTTGCTAGGTAACTCTTCTGCAAACGGGTGTGAGCAGATATGATCCCTGGGACGGAATAAAGTAATCATATGGTCAAACAATGGGAGTTTAGAACTCAGAGGACCTGTTCTGCCAGTTACTTATAGAAGAGAAAATGCCCCTCTCTGGGCCCCTTCCTTCTAGTTAAAACTGAGATGGCAATACCTACTTTTCCAGACTATGAACAGTAAAGCCCTTGAGATGGTGCCTGGCACGGAGTGAGCAATGGGACAGCGTATGCTATTGGATAACACGACGAACCACGCAGCCCACAGGAGTAGAGTCCCGCCTGTCATCTATTAGCTTTATACTTTTGGGCAAGCTATTTACTTTTTTTAAGCCTCAGTTTCCTTCCCTATTGTATAGGAGTAAGCTCCTAGTCGTTGTTGTAGAGAGTCAGTAAAATTAACTGGGTAATACATAAAAATCACTAAGCACACCATGTGAGACCAGCCATGCCACATCCAATAGATGCTTGTTATCATCAGTGTTTACTATTTTAAAAAATGTTTATAAAACTTATAAGTGCATAGTATTTAACTGGTCTACAGACTTCATTTTTATTTGTTTATTCTATTTGGTAATAGAAAAAAAAAGAAATGGATTTTAAAATCTACCTTATCAAAAAAACTATCAGAATCTGAAGTTATTCTTGTTTTTTAAAAAAATGTTATCTATCTATCTATCTATCTATCTATCTATCTATCTATCTATCTATCTATGTTTTCCAAGACAGGGCTTCTGTGTATAGCCCTGGCTGTCCTGAAAATCCCTCTATATAGACCAGGCTGGCCTTGAACTCACAGAGATCCACCTGTCTCTGCCTCCTGTGTGCTGGGATTAAAGGTGTGTGCCACCCTGCCTGACTAATAATTTCATGTTTTAATTATGAGTGTGTGTAGGTATGTGCATATGAATGCAGAGGCTTGTGGAGGTATCTCTAGCAGACTGAAAGGTGGTAGTTACTTCCACTGTTTTTCTACATTTCAGACATTTACAAGCCATAGGTTTGAGAATATAGGCCTCATCCAACAGTCATTTGCTTAAGAAGATTTCTTTTGAGACCTAATGCAACATGGTAGATTATAAATCTTCACTAGGCAGGATAAGAGTGAACAAAATAATGTTTATCATTACATAGAAGAGTTGCCATAGCAAAGCAATAGAAAGGATGAAACAGGACAGTTGTAACTTGAAAAACAGATATTCTGTACAGCAAGGACAGTCCAACTGGAGTCCTGGTGCAAAGTAACCATCACTGGCTAAAACTACCACAGCCTGAAACTACACACTAGCGGTCCCCACTGTGAACATTGAGCTTTTCCGTTACTTTTATAATGAAGTGGCTACTTTTCTTTGAGTGCCTAGGGATGGGGAGGACATGGGAGAGGTTTTAGGGAAGGGAGCTGGGAGGGGATGAAAGCAGGAAAGGAGGTAAAAAGTATAACTATCTATATTAAAAACTTATTTTTAAATAGCATAAAAATAAAAATAAAATCGAATGGCTCAGTTTGTTCCTTAACAGACACCATAGAACAAATAAGGTTTGATGCTTCTGAATAATGTCCAAATGGCATAGAAACACCAGAATCTGAGAATTTTTTATAATAGAGGATTTCAAGAGCTAGTTTATCCATGACATCTCATAGTGAATTGATTTTTCATTTTCTTCAGTTCCTAAGGAAACAAATGAGAAATATTCAATAAGAACTCCCATATGCATACAAAGTTCTACCTCAAGAAAACCCTCAGAAGCAGCAACTGACTCCATCTGATGTAGTGATGGGGTCTTAATAAGTGGCATTGAATTATAACATAAAAAAAGAGAGCAGACCAGAAGGTAAAAACTGCTGTTCCTCTAACCATGACAAGCCAGCTCACTGCTCCATGTAAGACAATGTAAACTGGCCAACTCTAAACTATTCCCAATATAAAATTAAAGGCAAGATGTCTCAAAAAGTACAGTTTTAAAAATATGCAACACAAAGTTATGGAGCTGGTTTTCTCTATAACTTTCTCTATAATGGATGAAGTCAGTATTAAAGAAAAGAAAAACAAAACAAAACTCTGGATAACAAGAAATTTCTAACTCAAGGATTGAACTAAGAAAACTTGTATTTTATGCAAGTAACACTGGTTGCAGTATTTGAATACATTTGGAAAATTTTAAAAACTAAGAAAATGTTTGGGTAAGGGATCCAGAACCTAGCACCTGGACCTAAACTGCAGATTGAGCATCCCTAATTCAAAATTCAAAAATCTGAAATGCTCCAAATTGCAAATCTTTTCAGCTCAAACGTAACGCCACAAGTGGAAAATTCTACATCATAAACTGGTTCATCTTCTGAGTTATTGTAAGTAATGCATAAAATTAATTTTAGGCTAAGCATACACAGTATATGAAAGATAAACAAATTTTGTATGTTAGATGTAGATTCTATCCATGAGAATTTTTTATTATATATTTTCAAATATTCCAAAATTTTTAAAAAAGCTAGAAGACTCGAACAAGTATTGTCCCAAGAATTTGTATAAAAGATGTTCAACGTGTATACTTCTAAAATATTTCCTCCAACAAACCATAAATCTCACCATATTCTTCTTTGTTTAGACTTATTCCTAGTATGAATACAATGAAGAACAAATTTTAAATTTCAACATAAAATATACTTTGTACTTTGATCCCTGTCTGTTTCAATGTTTCTCCTTTAGTCTACTGTTATTATACTTTTCTGTAAGAAGTTATTTACTTTATAGGCCTGTTCCTTTCAGCAGTAGAGGCTTTTATATAACGCTCTGCTTGACTAGAGTATCTTATTTCCTGTCTACCTGTCATTTGTCTTTTAAAAGTTCAGCTCAATTACTGATTGTTTTATGAAGCCTTTCAAGATTTTGTTGGGCAGAGGGTTTTATTCCATATAAGTGAATACAGGGAATTTTATATATGTTCTAACTTATACATTAGCTATTTGTTTACATGTCCATCTGCAATAGCAAGTGAAAACTATAAGGCAAGAAACATTATTATCATCATCATCCCTAGTTCAGAGTATAAAATCTGACCTAAAATAGGAATTCTATAATCATGGTCCCTGTAATCACTTTCAAGTCATTGGCTATGATATTCCTTGAAAGCATTATATGAATTGAAGTATTTTAAAATTTTTTCAGCCAAACCAGTTTAAAATGTGTTGATTTTGCTTCCTATGAACAATATTTACCACTCTAATCAACCATCATTATATGAATGGGGCAAATATTTTCATTGATATTTACTGGAAATCATTTAGAAGAGACCTCTTTCATCTTCATAGAGAACTACTTACTTCTATATTTGGAAGAGTTATTGTCACCTGTTCACCTTTGCCAACCTCAAGATCTCCTTCACAAGAGGTATCAATAGAAGCAGGTTTGAAGTCATCTAAAAATAGATACAAATATCAATTTTTATAAGATAGAAACATGTATTACTCATGACTGTAAACAGATAGTGACAGAAGCAACCAAGAGAATTATTTGGGTTCATAGGTAGTTTTGTTTAACTATTTTCATTTTATGTGTCTGAATGTTTTGTTTCCATTTATGCATGTGCAGGACCCCAAGGAGGCCAGACAAGGCCAGTGGATCCTCTGGAACTGGAGTTAGAGATGGATATAAGTGCCATGTGAGTACTCAGAACCAGACTCAGGTCCTCTGGAAAGGCAACAAGTCCCTTAATTGCTGAGTCCCTTGGGTCACTGTTTAAAGAGTACAATCCATCATAGCAAGGAAAGGATGTCAAGGTCCACACTGGTCAAAGAACTGTAACCATCAACATCATCAAATCCTAGCTTAAATTAGTGTATTTTCTGATATTTACTCACAATGAAGCTTTACTACTTTTGGTAGGTGGGCTCACTTGAATAGACCTTTCTGTAGTCATTACTTATTAGCTCATTCTGTGATAACAACAAATGGTGTCACTGAAAACAGGAAATTTACTGATTATTAGCCCTTACATAGATATAAATTATAATGCTGGTGGTATCCCAAATCCAAAATTAATTCTAATGAGTTATGTAGTGAATCTTTGTTGCTAAATGTTGTCATTGTTACACTTAAGAAAGTTACATGCATTAGTACTCCTCATACATAATTGAATAGAACTCATAAAAACTAATGATGACTACCACTTATTCTTTACCATGTCCTAAATCCCATGTTAGGTTTTTTAGGTTACCACAACCTTTCTAAGAAAGAATCCAAAAGGTAGATAATTACCATTTTCACAAATGAATACTGTGGTTGAAAGATTAGGGAATGTTCTCAAAGTCACATTACATAGAGGTTTGGTAAAGTTCAGGGTTCACGGCCAGGCTATCTGAAGCATTAGTACAAAAGACAGGCAAGATTTATCCCATATATGAGACAAAATAATACTTTCTCTCAAATAATATTGGCTTGAGTGTTTGGTGTAAATTAGATCCACCTGCTCTGTATAAATGTCAAATTCTGTATTATATAGTTTCCATTCCTCACTGAGTTATTGAGGCTGGGGATCACACTGGAAATGAACCTGTTCTCAAGGATAATGGCAGGTTTTGTTTAAATACACCTGAAAGGATTCTGTGTGATATTATACTTAATTGAATGGGGGCGGGGGGAAGACAGTGCATTTTAAAAGTCTTCTGCAGGACTAAGTGTGGAGTCTAAGCTTGTTCACTCTGTGCTTGCTTTTATGCATTGTCTTTTTGCATAGTCTTGTTTATTGCCATTCTTGTGACTCTGTGATTCTTGGAAAATATGTTTTCAATATTTTAAGAACTTTTGTAAAGCCGAGGATGTAGTTCAGTGGTAGAGCACTTGTCTATATATACAAGGCCCTGGGTTTGAGTTCTAACACTGCAATTAATCAATCAATTAATCAAAGACTTATAAATAAAAGTCTTAGAAACACCTGCAAGGCACTTTTCCAAAGCTGTATTTCATTCATTTAATTTTGGATTTGTATCCATAAGAAAAGAATGTATACCTAAGCTTTAAACAATATAAACTGTTTTTGCAGAGAACTTGGGTCATTCTCAGCACCAGCATTAGGTCACTGATAACCACAGTCAACTCCAGTTAAGGAGATTTGAGGCTCTCTTGTGGTCTCTGAGGGCATTGCATAATACGATGCACATGTATAGACTCAGGCCCACACATATACATAAAAAAGTAAGTATATCTATCTCTATATAACTTTGTTTTGTAATCTTAAACCTTGTGGCTTGAAAAACAAAATATCACTGCATACCTGAGAAGGAAGAGGAAAAGGACATGGTACTTGGGAAAAGGGCGTTAAGAGATCAGATAAGAACAGTATCTTGCTTTTGGAGAGAGAGAACAGGCTGCACAACACTCACTGTTCCATTATGGGGAACCCTGGCTGGTAATCCAGAGCAAAATAAACAAGGGACACACCATTGAAGTTCGGTTGGTAACCTTCTCCCATTTATTCCATCAAAACATGCTATAAATAAAATCTTTCTATAAAGCTTAAGTATACCAATGGAAGGTTAAAACCATTGGTTCTTCCTACATTTACTCTGAGTTATTATAACTAGATTGTCTACAACTTAAACTTTGAAGACTGAGCTTTAAATGGGTGTTTTTCAGAATATAAACTTTATAAGGAAAGGGATAGAATGGTGGGGGAACGTAGAACAATGAGACAATAAAGAGCTGGGCTGGAGAAAAGATGTGAAAAAGATCTACTTTACAGTTTGTCACACACACACACACACACACACAAGAGGTCACGACTCAGTGATATTTCCCTTACGCTCTAGAATTCTGCAGCCTATTATGCAAAAAAGAAGTTTTACATACAAAATTAAGTTATATTTTTCATACAGGCATCTCATTTAATTACTAAAACGCTCATTAATTACAAAAGGCTCATTATAACCTCTTTTCCGACAATATTAAAAATAACTTACTAAAATAGATCCCAGAGAACAACAACAACAAAAAAGAAAACCAAGGGGTAGAAATCATTAGGAGGCAAAATTTTAAAGTAAAGAAAGTAGAAAAAAATACCCACCTTTCAATTTTTGATAATCAGTAATTACTTAGCTTGACCATGAAATCTGAAATCTAAAAGATTGAGACAGCTGACAATTTCTCCCCACGAACAAAGTGGGAGTCCTCATTAGCCAGAGTGAGGACCAGTGAAAATGGGGAAGAAATGTCCTTGTGGCCTCTAAACATCACTTTTGCCCTGCATTCAGTCCTTTGTTCCATCTATCTGTCGCCTTTCCAAACTCTGCATCATCCACTTGTCACACTAGTCTCCACAGCCACCTCTGCAGATCCTCCCACAAAACTTCCTCTCCTGACTGTCAGTCTCTCTTAAATCCAGGGTTCTACACCTGCGGGACGCCAGGTGCCTGCACAGAAGCTGACAGCTGGGGAGTGGATCACTCTGTCATCCGGTCTCCCAGGGAGCAAAGAGCCACGGGGACAGAGTTACAGAATCCCGAGGAGGAGTCTGTCTCCATACCACCCTCCCATGCCAGGAGGAACCCGGGGTATCCCGGACAGTCTGCACTCACAGCGCACGGTGTGGAAAGCACAGCGCGGCTGTTTCTCGAAACTTTCGCCTAATTTGAGAATCCGCTCGCGACGGTCCAGGTATGTGAGTCCCGCTGGTCCATTCATCCTCTTCCTCTGCCTCCCACTTGGCCTTCACGGTCCGCCGTCGCAGCCTTCTGGAGCAGCTGCACTGGCCGCGAGCCTGAGCTCGGAGCGGGGGCGGGCCCCGTTCATCTCCAAACGCGTGCGGCCGCCCCTTAGAGCGCCCCGAGTCTTGATTGGCTGTCTGAAGACAGTTGCCCCGCCCCTCGCCTCGGGCCCCGCCCCGCCCCTAGCCCCCATCCCCGCCCCTAGCCCCCTTCCCGCGTCGCGACGCACACAGCTCGGCGAAGGCAGCCACGCTGAGGTACGCTGTGCGGGTCGGGCCCTGAGGTGGACGAACGCGGGGATGAGATGAGGTAACAGACCTGAGATGGCGGCTGGGATGGATGAAGGCTCTAGGGGGCGGGGAAGCTAGGACGCCAGAAACCTAGGGAAGAACTGGCTGGCGGGGCCTGGTAACGGGAGCGTGGGCCTCCTCTGCGCCCGGCCCGCAGGTTTGCTGTGGAAACGGACGCCTGAAGAGAGGTGGCGGCTGGGCCCAGGCCTGTGGCCTCCTGAGGCCTAGCTGCTCCGAGGCGGTTCTGGAACCCCAGCCGCGCCCCCTCAGGTGATGTGACCAGGCTGGAAGCCTCTGGAAGCTGCGCAGTTACCTTTGAGGGCTTCCCCCCACCTCTTCTTTCTAATTTTTTTTTTTTTAACCTTTAAATACACAGGCTTTCCCGCCCGGTTAGGACCTGAGGAGGGGGCGTTTCCGGAGGAGACCGAGAAGCATAGGATTAGGGGTAACTGACTGCTGTACGTTTCTGGCATTTGTTTCTGTCTTAGTGATTCCTGGAAGCAGTGAAGGGCACAGCCTTGGGACTCTTGATTCCTCAGAGATCAGTCTAGCAACAGGGTAAGAGCATTAATTGATTGATAATTGTCTCCCTCCCCCCTTCTTGACACCTCACAGAATTGTTATGAAGTAGGAGAAAGGATTGTATTGCAGGAGAATTCAGAGAAAGTAAACAGTGAGTTGCCCTCTCAGGTGACTTTTCTGGTTAACTATGTGATCAGACTATGCTTTTTTGATTCCTTAAATAGATTTGTCAATTTGTTTTTCCAGGTGGGTGGGTGATTAATTTTTGCCTTCTACCCTTTAAAGATACAAGGAGACTGTTCTATGTGATATTTATGCACGAAGGTTCTGAAGCCAGAATCTCTGGGCTTGCATATCAGCTTCATACTCCTGATGTGATTTTGTGCAAGCAAATCCAACAAATATGTTTATAATTGGGGAAATAATAGCTATTTTAAAAATAATGCCCGTTCCTTAGAAATGTTGAGATGGTTAAATGAGTTAATTTATGCAAGCAAGTAAAACAATACACAGAGCTCTCTAAATAATTACTTTGGGTTCAGCAATGCTTTCATATTTTTAGACTTATCATTGGTGAATGCCTTCTAAATTTTGAAGTCTAGGGACAAGGAATGGCTATTATGTTCACAGGTGAAAACACTGGTTTAGAGAAACCCAGGTGGTTGACTTTGTGGCCATCTGATATCAAGAGGGATTTGTTCAGTGGCACAACTGAGTGGATATATACTTTCACATTGATTTTTATTACCATATTGTATAAAATAATTTGCATCCTAAATGGCCACCAGTGAAGGGGATGTTTAAATGTATTCTGATGCATTCTTACAAAGAGCAAATAGAATAATGTAGACACTGGAGAGAGTAAGATAACATGCATTCTCTAGGAAAGTTTTACATCTTCTACATGCTAGGAATTTTATTAGGCTTTCTTTAAAATAGTTTCAGTGAATTTGTCTAGAAATGATTTATATTTTACTCAAGAAGAGGGTCTCACTGTATTTCTGGTTGTCTTGAAACCCACTATGTATGTATGTCTTGAACTCACAGAGACCCACCTGCCTCTGTTTCCCAAGTGCTGCGATTTAAAGGGATGTGCCACTATGTCCAGCTCAGTTTTATTTTTCTTAACTGCACATTTGAGATGATTATGGTAACTATTTCATAATCCCATTGTAAGGATAAAATAGTGCATTAAAACCCACTTAGCACAGTTCTTACCTCATAATAAATGTTATCTTTATTAATTAAAGAGAAGATATGTAAAGCAAGGTCAGTAAAATGAAAAGATAATCTAGGATACATCCACAGATACCAGGCACAGTCTTCCAAGATCCACTCCCAGTAGAATTACAGGATACACATAATTTCTTAAGGAAAACAGTTTTGACCATACCTGTGAAGTATTTTCTACTAGAGATGCTTATTAGACACTCAGTGATCAGAATTTTTACTGGTTTGTGTTGAAAGATTGGTTCCTTATGCCAGTACTAAGAGGTAGTGGAACCATCAAGAGGTGAGGCCTAGTGGGAAGTAATTACATCATTGGGGTCACCCACAAAAGAATTGATGCAGTTTTTGTAAGAGTTTAGATAGTCCTTAAGAGAAGACTGTTATAAAAAGGCCTGCCCCTCCTTAGTCTCTCTCAGGTATTGTGTGTTGTATCTCTTCTATTCATGCTATCCATACCATCTACAATATGGGAAAGCCAAGATGGCTTTCACCAGAAGCCAGTGCCCTGACATAAGGTCCTTGAACTTCCAGAACTGTGAGCCAAATAAACCTCTTTGTAAAATGCCTCTGGTATCTTATTAAATATTGAAAATCAGACAATGCATATATCAGAATTCTCAGAATCTAAAAGAAAACAGATGTTTACTTACCACAACCATTATATTTATAACAGTTTTGGCATAGTGATCCAAGCTTATAAGAGAACAATAAAAATCCTTTTGAAATTTACATTCTAGATACTAGCCAACAGCCAGCCTTGTAAAATGACCTTTGAAGAAAAGGCTGTACTTCAGCCTGCCATATCAACTCTTTGTACAGTCTGTTTCTCCTGTATGAAGTCTATCCTAGAATTGTTGCCTAGAGAGAGTAAATGTGAAGCTGGTACAATTTCTGATTCTTAATACATTTGATTTTTTTTTTAATTATTACTATGTTTAAGCATAGGTGGTAGAAAAAATGAAGCCATCAGGTACAGACCCAAGGATCTTGTCTTTAGCTGCTGAAGTTGCGAAAAGTCCTGAACAAAATGTCCCTGTTATATTATTGAAGTTAAAAGGTAAGAAGATACTTTTATAGTTAGAAAAGACATTAAGTAAATACTAGTTTTGTCATGACACAGTGTTAGTATTCTAATTTGTTTGGAGAAATCGTAACACTGTAGAATAACATTTTCTTTTTTGTTACATTTTAATGATAACAACATATAAATACAAGTATCTTTTAGATGAGTTGAGCAAAAATAAGTGTATCTTATTTTCTCTTCCCTTAGAAATAATAAACAACACCCCTTTGGGAAGCTCAGAGTTAAAGAAAGTCAAACAAGATATATATTGTTATGACCTCATTCAGTATTGTCTATTGGTCCTCAGTCAAGACTCTTCTCGAATCCAAGGTGGTTGGTCTACAATTTCCCAGCTTACACAGATACTAAGGTAAAATGAAGCAAATAGGTTAGCTTGTTCTAATTTTCAATAATACTTTTTTTTATTTATCATTCTATTAAGAATTGGAATCTCCTATATGTTTTGGTTGTACTTTTCTTTAACACTGTATGCTGTCATTTGTAATTTCAGTTGCAATTGATTATCCTAAGATTTTACACATGATCATGTCATTTGTTTGCCACTTGAGTCCCAGTTAGCTAATGTATTCTTTTTTGACTCAGAAATATTTGAAAAAATGAGTAAATTAAAGCTCTGTACTTGGAAAGCTTACAGTAGAGATTAAGTAGCAGTGATACATGATATAAACACAGTGAATAGGTGACAGAATGAAAGCATATAGCAAAGAACTATAGAAGATCAAGTGTAGAAACTTCATTTCATCTGTAATGATGTAGCTATTTAAACTGTATATTCATTAGGGAGCCCAAGTCATGTACATGAAATTTAGAAGCAGCATTTACTTTTCTACTGCTATGTTAAAAATAGAAAGATCAAAATGATCAAGAAGATGGTAAAAGATAAAGTGTTCTCAGTACCTGAGTTACTCTTCTTTCCACTTGCATTTGATTTTATAAAATTTTTTATTTTACATTATTTGTATATGTTGGTGTCTGTATGTGGGTATGTGTACTTGAGTACAGGTACCCATAGAGACCAGAAGAGCACATGGATTCTGGATTTGAGCTCTCGTATTTTGTAAGAGTAGCAAGTGCTCTTAACTACTGAGCCATTTCTTCAGCCCCACCCCATTTGATTTTAAATGAACTATCCTCACAGGAGATATTTTTCATACTTACACTATTCTGTCTTAGATCCTAACTTTCTAAACTGCTTAATTCTACTTTGTTATTACATAAAGGCTTAATTCAAGGTATGCAGTTACAAAAACAGGTTAACAAATTTATTATGCACTACTCTTTTATACTTAATTTTCAAGATTATTTCAGTATTGATTAAACATAAGTTTAAGAACTAAAGAGAAAATAAAAACTTGATAGCAAGCATTAGCCAATGAGGTTTTTAACATGCTTAGTTTGTAATTGTCATTGTTTATCAGCGTGTACACATTTTGTTGAAAAGATTTAGACAATAGTGCTTACTTATCATATTAATAATATCTACTTTTGGGTTGAAGTCTCTTTGGTATAAGACTACTATGTAAGTACTTTTATTATTGATATTTGTGAATATGTTCAACTCATATCTAGGAATTAGCTTTAATGTATAGTTTTAAGAAGATAGTATTTCTATACAGTGCTTTTTCTTCTTTACTGTGTATTATAAAATATCCCTACTACAAGTAGGTTGATGCTTTTACTGTTTTTCCTTCTAATATAAGGAATAGACAGGCAGATATTTGTGGGTCTTTAGAAAGAGGAATTGGTTAGAAACTAGAGTGTTTGATTTTCTTATCTTTGTTCCTTAATGATTAACCTCACCCTAGATATTTTTAGCTATTAGATTCTAAAATACATCAGTTAACAGAAATTAACATGAATTAAACAATCAAGATATTCTTTGCCTTTAGGGTGATAGTAGCCAATTCCCTGAAAACTTCTCTCATTTTTCTTGTTTGTTAACCAAGTGTTTTTCATG